TTTTTGCACATAGAATTTTATTTTAAACAGATAAATCAATTATATCATTTTAATCAAGATTCCCCTTATTAAGTTTGATTAAATTCGCTTGCCGTTAATTATATTTTATTGAGTTTTCATAATAAGTAATGAATTTATAGGCTGCCAATTTATGAAAATATTCATTGTTTAAAGATTAATTCAGGTTTAAACTTACAGAATATTGTATTTTTTTTTAATTTTAGGGATCAATACAATTGATCTTAAACTCTAGATTTTCGTTTTATTATTCCATAGGAAACAGAACCTAGATTGTAAGTTCCTAATTTTTCTTTAAGCAAACTATTGATTCTGGATTAGGAATAATAGAGGATATATTAACTACATTGGATTCTAATGTAAATGCTTGTAAATATGGTGTTAATGAATCTTCTAATAGGTCAATTACTTTCTCATTTATATCTTCCTTATCACTAACAATTTGAGATTTGCCATTTCCTACTTCAGCCACACGTTAGATCAAGTATTGACTACATCCTTAACCTATTCCTAAAGTGTAGATTCTTGTTTGCGCTTGATTATTAGATTAAACCAATTAAATAATTTGATCAGCATCTGTCTCTCCATCAGTAAGCATAAATACATTAAGAGTTGTATTTTTGGATGTGCCATAACTAGCGTTATATACCATCTGTTATAATGGAGTCAATATTTCAGTTCCTCCCATATTCGCAGCCATTTCTTCAACATGCTAAATTGCCTCGTCTAATAATGTTTAAGAATATCTTTAGGATACTTTATACAATGCCGAGAAACTACTATTGTGAAGACACATTATTCAACGGAACTGATTAATGATTAAAAAATAAAAATATATCCGCAATACCAAATGAGATTATGTTAAACTCAGAATCTTAAGGTAAACTTTTCAAGAAAAGAATTAGGGCTTATTTCGCTTTTTCGATCCTAGATCCACTCATAGATCCACTTCGATCAATTATGAATAAGTAGTTGCCTCTATTAATTACTTAATTATCAGCAATGCTTAAACCATCTAGATATTATGTATAAGCATCATCTAATGAAACTTCATTAAATTTTGGAATGAAGGTTAATGTAGCACAATATCGTTAATATTGCAAGGCATCATTATCAGTATGACTCAAGATAGCACGAGGTAAATTAATTTCATCTGATGAAAAAAGTAAAGTAAACTATCTAGTTGTCTCATAGTTCTCAGGAATATTTTATAATTAAAGTATTATTCTTTTTTAATTTCCTTCTGTTTGAACATCTGAATTATTTTTAGCATTTGTGGATTAAAGTTTATGAGTAGGAGATTTCCAAAATGTAATTGGGTAATTAAAATCTATTTCCACTTAAATTTCTTATCTAAATTCAAACCTGAATTTATTAATCTTAAATAATTCATTAAAATAATTATGGAGTCTTTCATCATGAATGCCAAACATTTTTTAGTTATCAAAATGTACATAATTTTAATCAATAACTGGAAAAAGTTCGAATTTCCAAAATTTATTAAGATAGACTTATAGAGGTTATATATATTCAAAAGTAATTTTCAATTATTTATTTGGTGCAAGTTATCCTATTTTCACTCTCTTTATTTATGGGAATTTCGAATCTTAATCACTATATGCCATAGTCTTTCCTTGTATTAGACCTTCCTAATATTCTTATTTAGCTTTCTCCTTTTCCTTTAATTACACAATAAACTTTAGTTTCTCCTAATTCTACAACCATTTTTGTAACAGCTGCATTTTCATTAATTGAAATACACTTTCCAGCTCTATTGGCTCTGTTTGATTTTCAGTTGAATATGTTTCCTCTAATTCTACAATGCAAAT